GGGAGACTCCAGTTACTGACAATAAACATGGTTTCTGCTGTAGATGTGTTGATCCCATATTAGTCATCTTCTATCAGTTAGAAAACAATTTAATATAAATAGCTAAAGGCATGTCCACACAAAGCAAGCATTTCAAAAACATTTCTATATAGTGTGTCATCAAAAATTTTAAATTTGGGGCCGGCCCGGTAGTGCACTCGGTAGAGTGCGGCGCTTGGGAGCGCGGCGGCGCTCCCGCTGAGGGTTCGGATCCCATATACAGACTGGTCCGCTCACTGGTTGAACGCGGTGCGGGCGCGACACCGAGGGTTGCGATCCCGTTACCGGTCACGAAAAAAGACAAAAAGGAAAAAAAAAATTTTTTTAAATTGGCTCCATATCACCGAGGGTTGCGATCCCGTTACCGGTCACAAAAAAAGACAAAAAGGAAAAAAAAAAAATTTTTAAATTGGCTCCATACAATTTCACAAATAAATTTGATCTTCATTTGAGTAAAAATTAAAACAATTTGGTATTGAACTTTAAAAAAATTCACATAATTATCTACAATTGAATTTCTAAACAAACTTTTGCTCAGATATCACTACTTACAAAGATAAATTAATTCAAGAAACATTCAAGGAATGAACTAACTATGTGCCCAGCACCATTCTAGTTGCTACAAAGGATAAGAAAGAATTTGAAGAGAAAGAAGGACTTGTGCTTCCAGCCAAGAAGGAGCAATAGGAGCTGGATTTACCCTCCTGCCTGAAATTTTTTTAAAAAAGCAATTAGGAAAAGAAAGAAAAAAATTAAGAAAGAGAAAGGAAGGAAAGAAGAAAGGGAGGGAGGGAGGAAGGAAGAAATAAACAATGGGTTTCAAGACTGTTTCAGGCAATGAAAGACAGTTACTGAGAGATGGAAAAACAAACAAGGTAAACCCTACAATTGCCCCAGCTTAATGCCTTATGAGGGTTTCCAGGCTGCTTCCCAGGCAGAGAAAACTAGATAGAGCTCAGCAAATACTCTGAGCTGAGGAGACAGAGCTGAGTCCAAGGAGACAAAGGTGGCTAGAATTTGCAGGACAGAGTACTGGAGAGGAAATAGCAGCATGGAGGCCTGGAGATGTGTGGAGGTCCCCCTCAAGTACTTGGCATGATTGATCCATTAGTGTGAGGAAACTACCCAAGGCTTGGCAAAGAACCATCTAAGAGGATTAGAGAACAGTACTAGGTGTTCACACTAGGAAGAGTATCTGTTCCCACCAGCCAGACTTAAAGAAAACTTTATAATTCATGGTCATTGGATGAAACACTCAAAAGGATTTTGCCTTGGTAGTGGGGAATAATTAGCCCTACAATAAACACTGGCTCTGGTCCCACCTAATAACTCTTAAAAGTAAAATCAAAAGGATCAAACTGTTTCCAAGTAATCTAATCGAATCCCACAGCAAAGTTCAAGAATATTTATAGAAATACCAAGATATCCTGTACCCAGCAAGGTAAAATTCACCATATCAAGTATCTAAACAAAGATTACTAGGCAAGCAAAATATGACCCATAATGAGGAGAAAACTCAATCAATCAAAATTGACCCAGAAGTGACAAAGATGTTAGAATTAGCAGACAAGGATGTTAAAACAGTTATCATAACTGAATTCCATATGTTCAAAAACCTGCACAATGTTCTCACTCATGTGGGAGTTAAAAAAAAGAGGAAGTTTAGCTTTTAGAAGTAGAGAGTAGAATTGTGGTTACTAGAGGCTGGGAAAAGGGACAGCAGAGGGCGGACAGGGAGCGGTTGGTTAATGGATACAAAATTAGGTAGGAAAAATAAGTTCTAGTAGTGTACAGTAGTGCTAAGTATCTATAATTAACAATAATTTATTGCATGTCCTCAGATGGCTGGGTGAGAGAAACTCAAGTGTTCTCATTACAAATAAATGATCCATTTTGCAATGATGAGTATGCTAATTACCCTGATTCTATCATCACACATTGTATGCATGCATTCATATATAACTCTGTACCCCATAAATATGTTCAATCAATACATGTCAATTAAAAATAAATTAATTTTAAAAAAGCATATACACTATAAAAAAGATGCAAATTGAACTTTTAGAGATGAAAACTACAAGTAAGTCGCTAAGACTAACAACAGATTAGACATTTCAGAAGAAAATTTTAATGAATGGAATGATATAATAATAGAGACTTTAAAATTAAACACACAGAGGAAAAAGGAATTTTAAAAAATAAAGAGTATCAGTGAAGCTATGGGACAACTTCAAGTAGCCTAATATATGTGTAATTGGAGACCCTGAAAATGAGAGAAGTTTAGAAAAATTATTGGAAGAAATAATGGCCAAAATTTTTCTAAATTTGATAGAAACTATGAACCCACAGATCCAAGAAGCTCAATGAGACCCCCACACAAGAAACCTAAAGATAACTACACCAACCCACATATAATAAAATTGCTCAAAATATGTGATAAAGGAAAAAATCTTAGAAGCAGTCAGAGAAAAGACACATTACATACAGACAAATATAAAGACAGCAGCAGATTTCTCATTGGAAACAGTACAAGTAAGACAGCGCAGCAAGATATTTTAAGTGCTAAAAAGGCCCCAACAACTGTCAATCTAAATCCTATACCTAGCAAAAATATCTTCAAAAATGAAGGTATAATAGAGATCTTTTCAGACTCATAAAAGTTTAAAGAATTCATGACCAGCAAAACTGCACTATAAGAAATGCTAAGAGGGCCGGCCCCGTGGCGCACTCGGGAGAGTGCTGTGCTGGGAGCGCAGCGACGCTCCTGCCGTGGGTTTGGATCGTATATAGGGATGGCCAGTGTGCTCACTGGCTGAGCACGGTGCGGGCAACACCAAGCCAAGGGTTGCGATTCCCTTACCGGTCACGAAAAAGACAAAAAAAAAAAAAGAAAGAAAAGAAAAGAAAAAAAGAAATGCTAAGAAAGTCCTTCAGGCAGAAGGAAAATGATAACAGATGGAAACATGAATCTACCCAAAGGAATGAAGGTAAATACATGAGTGAACACATAAGATTTTTTTTAACCATTTATATGTCTCTCAAAAATAATTGACTGCTTTAACAAGAAAAATTATGATGTATTGCATGGTTTATAACATTTCTATAAGTAAAAAGTATGACAATAAAAACAGAAGTTGGGAGAGAAGAAATGGAAGTATACTACAGTAAGTTTCCTATACTATATGTGCAGTGGTGAAGGCAGACTGTGATTAGATATATAAACTGTAAACCCTGAAGCAACCACTAAAATAACAAAACAAAGAATTAGAGCTACTCAGCCAAAAAAGGAGATAAAATAGAATTGTAAAAAAAAAAATCCATTAATCCAGAAGAAGGCAGAAAAAGAGAAAAGAAAGGAACAAAAAAAGAAATGAAACATACAGAACAAAGAGCAAGATGACAGACTTAACCTTTCAATAATCACGTTAAACGTAAACGGTCTATACTGTATGATTCCACTTATATGAAGTATTCAGTTAGAGCAGCCAAACTCACAGAAACAAAGTAGAGTGGTGGTTGCCAGGGGCCGGGGAAGGGGTAAGTGGGGAGTTGTTGTTTAATGGGTATAGAGTTTCACTTTTGCAAGATGAAAAAGTTCTAGAGATTGGTTGCACAACAATGTGAATATACTCAACACTACTAAACTGTATACTTAATGGTTAAGATGGTAAATTTTATGTTATGTGTATTTTACCACAACTAAACAAAATAAAACAAAACAAAAAAGCCCGCATATTTCTTTGAGGTAGAAAAACAAAAGTAAACGGTTTAAAAGCTCTAATTAAAAGGAAGAGATTGTCAGATTGGATAAAAAAGCAAGACCGAATTATATGGTGCTTATAAGAAACACACTTTAAATACAGAGATATAGCTATGTTAAAAAGTAAAAGGATGGAAAATGATATACCATGCTAACACTAATCAAAAGAAAAATGGGGGCCGGCCTGGTGGCGCACTGGAGAGTGCGCCGCCTGGGAGCACGGTGGCGCTCCCACCGAGGGTTCGGATCCCATGTGGAAACCGGTTCCCACTCACTGGTTGAGCGTGGTGCGGGCGCAACACCGAGGGTTGCGATCCCGTTACCGGTCAGTAAAAAAGACAAAAAGGAAAAAAAAAAAGAAAAATGGAATGGCTATATTAATATCAAACACAGTAGGTTTTGGAGCAAAAAATATTACCATGTATAAAGAACATCATTTCATGGTAAAGGACTCAAGTCATCAAAATCCTAAAAGTTTATGTACCTAATAACAGAGCTTCAAAATACATGAAGCAAAAATGGATAGAACTGCAAATACAGTTCTATCACAATTATAGTTGGAGATTTCAATACTCCCTCTTAATAATTATACACAAGTAGGCAAAAAACAGGCAAGGGTATAGAAGACTTGAACAACACTATCAATCAGCTTAACCTAATTGACATTTGTAGTACACTCCATCCCCAAACAGAAGAATGCACATTCTTTTCAAATGCACAAGGAACATTTACCAAAATAGGCTATATTCTTGGTCATAAAACAAGTTTCAATAAATTTAAAAAGATTCACGTCATAAAAAATATGTTCCCTCACCACAATAGAATTAAATTAGAAGTCAATAATAGAAACCTTCTTGGAAAAATCCCCAAATATTTGGAAACTAGATAACACACTTTTAAATAACCCATGGGTCAAAGAAAAACACAAAAGGGAAATCGGAATGTATTTTGAATGGAATGAAAATGAAAACTCAACATATCAAAATTTGTGGGTGCCACTAAATCAGTACTTGAAAGGTCTCAAATCAATAACTTCAGTTTCTACCTTAAGGAACTAGAAAAAAAAAGAGCAAACGAAACCCAAAGTAAGCAGAGGAAAGTAAATAATAAAGATCAGAGTTAGAGAGTGGGATGTCTGGCTTTCCAGAAGGAACCTTAGTAGCGTGAATGACAAAAGAGAATTAAAAATGGGTATGTTGAGAAAGGCAAGAAGATTTTTATTCAGAAGTATGCCCAGTGCCATACCATGGAAAAGGGAGGCAAGCACAAGCCTGGGCCCAGTCTCCGTGGTCTGTTTGGGTGGAAGACAGGTCAGGCAGCTGGATTATCTTACACAGATGCCGAGAACAAAGGCATCACCTGGGGAGAGGAGATGCTGACGGAATATTTAGAGAATCCCAAGAAGTACATCCCTGGAACAAAAGTGATCTTTGGGCCGGCTCGTGGCTCACTTGGGAGAGCGTGGTGCTGACAACACCAAGTCAAGGGTTAAGATCCCCTTACCGGTCATCTTTTAAAAAACAACAATAACAACAACAACATCAAAAACACAAAAGTGATCTTTGTGCGGTGCTGATAACACCAAGGCCCCGGGTTTGGGTCCCATATAGGGATGGCCGGTTGGCTCGCTGGCTAAGCGTGGTGCTGACAACACCAAGTCAAGGGTTAAGATCCCCTTACCGGTCATCTTTTAAAAAACAACAATAACAACAACAACATCAAAAACACAAAAGTGATCTTTGCTGGCATTAGGAAGAAGGCAGAATGGGCAGACTTGATAGCTTATCTCAAAAAAGCTACTAATGAGTAATTGTTGGTCACTGCCTTATTTATTACAAAACAGAAATGTCTCATGACTTTTCATGTGTATCACAATTTAATTGATCTCATACAGCAGAATTCAGATCATGAATGACTGACAGAATATTTTTGTTGTGACAGTCTGATTTAACTAAGACTGGTTTGTGGTTAAATGAATATGATACGGTTTTTGAATTTTGATAGTAATTCCAGTTCAGTAAATACTATCACTATTTTCTCGTTCTAAAGATATGATTGGACTTGATTAGTAATGTTCAACTTTTCACAAAGATGGTGAATGCCATCTCAAAATCTATTAGAGATTTGTTTTATACTATATGTATATAATTGATTATAAGAATAAATTTATTTATTTATTTATTTATTTATTATTATTTTTTTAAGATGACCGGTAAGGGGATCTTAACCCTTGACTTGGTGTTGTCAGCACCACGCTTAGCCAGCGAGCCAACCGGCCATCCCTATATGGGACCCAAACCCGGGGCCTTGGTGTTATCAGCACCGCACTCTCCCGAGTGAGCCACGGGCCGGCCCTATATGAATAAATTGAAATGCTGGGGAAATCCCTTCACTGTCTTAGAACAAAAAAAAAAAAAAAAAAAAAAAAAAAGCAGAGCAGAAATTAGTGAAATAGAATACTGAAAAACAATGGAGAGAATCAATGAACCCAAAAGCTAGTTCTTGAGAAGATCAATAATATTGATAAACCTCTAGTCACGTGGATCAGGAAAAAAGAGAAAAGACACAAATTAACGATATCAGGAATGAGAGAAGTGACTTCTCTACAGATTTTACATGTAATAAAAGGATATTATAAGGGAATATTATGAACAACTTTGCCAATGCCAATTTAAAGAAAGATGGTGGCGGGGGGGATGAACAGGCAGAGCACAGATGATGTTTAGGGGAGTGAAAATACTCTGTGTGACACTATAAGGATAGATACATGTCACCGTACATTTGTCCAAACCCAACGACACCAAGGGTGAGCCCTGTGAACTATGGATTTTGGGTGACTATGATGTGTCAAAGTTGGTCCATCAGTGGTAATAATTGTACCACACTGGTAGGAGATATTGATAATGGGGGAGGTGAAGCATGTGTGGGGGCAGGTAGTGTATGGGAAATCTCTGTACCTTCCTCCCAATTTTGCTGTGAACCTAAAACTGCTCTAAAAAAATAGTCTTTTTCTAAAAATAAGCAAAAGATTTGCACAGACGATTCACCAAATGGGACATATGGATGCAAAATAAGTACATGAAAAAATGCTTGACATGGGCCGGCCCAGTGGCGCACTCGGTAGAGTGCGGCGCTTGGGAGTGCGAAGTGCTCCTGCTGAGGGTTCAGATCCCATATAGAGACCAGTCCGCTCACTGGTTGAGTGCGGTGCGGGCGTGACACCGAGGGTTGCGATCCCGTTACCAGTCACGAAAAAAGACAAAAAGGAAAAAAAAAAATGCTTGACATTATTGGTCATCAGGGAAATGTAATTTGAAACTACAATGAGAAATCATTACACACTTACTAGAATAGCTTTAAAAAAAAAAGAAACTGACAATACCAAGTGTTGGTAAGGATGTGAAACAACTGAAACTAGCATACACTGCTGGTGGAAATGTAAAATGGTACAACCACTTTGGAAAAATCTTTGAGAGTTTCCTATAAAATTAAACATACCATACAATCCAGTAGTTCCACTCCTAGGTATTTAACCAAGAGAAATGAAAGCATATGTCCACAAGAAGATATACTAGAATGTATACAGGAGCTTTATTCACAATAGTAAAAAAACTGGAAACAACCCAATATTCATCAACAGACAAAAGGATAAACAAACTGTGGTATATTCATAACATGGGCTACTACTCAGCAGTAAAAAGGAACAAACTATTGATAAATCACATAGACATTATTCTGAGTCCTAGAAGTCAGACACAAACACTACTGTTACGGACTTTGTTCCCCTCAAAATTCATAAGTTGAAGCCCTTATCTATAATGCAGAGATAGAACTGTTAAAGAGGTAATTAAGGTGATGGAGTTTGGATGTGTTGATCCCTCCAAAACTCATGTGGAAATTTGATCCCCAATGTGGCAGTGTTGGAAACTGATTGGGTCATGGGGGTGGATCTCTCACGAATGGATTAGTGCTCTCCCTGGGGGAGGAGTGAGTAATGAGTGAGTTCTTTCTCTGTTAGTTCCTGTGAGAGCAGGTTGTTTAAAAAGATCCTGGCGGGGCCGGACCGGTGGCGCACTGGATAGTGCGCTGCTTGGGAAGCGCGGCAGTGCTCCCGCCTGAGGGTTTGGATCCCACATACAGACCGGTTCCCGCTCACTGGCTGAGCGAGGCGCGGGAGCGACGCCGAGGGTTGCGGTCCCGTTGCCGGTCCCCGGTCTGGTGCGGGGGCGACACTGAGGGTTGCGATCCGCTGCCGGACACGGAAAAAGACAAAAGACAAAAAAAAAATAAAATAAAATAAAATAAAAAAAAGATCCTGGCACCTCCTCTCTCTCTCTTTTGCTTCCTCTCACCATGTGATTTGATTGTACCTGCTGGCTGCCTGCCACCTTCTGCCATGAGTCAAAGCAGCCTGAGGCCCATGCCAGATGCAGCTGTCCCAGAATTGTAAGCCAAATAAACCTTTGTTTTTTATAAATTACCCAGTCTCAGGTAGTTCTGTTATAGCAACACAAAATGGACTAATACAGAAAATTGGTACTGAGGAGTGCTATACAGATACCTGAAAATTTGGGTGCAGCTTTGGAACTGGGTAATGGGCAAAATTTGGAGGAGTTTGGAGGACTTAGAAGAAGACAAAAAGATAAGGGAAAGTTTGGAAAATTTTAGAGATTGGTTAAATGGTTGTGACCAGAATGTTGATAGAAATGTGGACAGTAGGGCCGACCTATGGCTCACTTGGGAGAGTGTGGTGCTGATAACACCAAGGCCACAGGTTCAGATCCCTATATAGGGATGGCTGGTTAGCTCACTTGGGAGAGCATGGTGCTGACAACACCAAGTCAAGGGTTAAGATCTCCTTATCGGTCATCTTAAAAAAAAAAATGTGGACAGTAAAGGCCATGTGGATGATGGGGTCTCAGATAGAGATGAGAAACTTATCAGGAATTAGACAAAAGATAACCCTTGCTACACCATAGCAAGGAATTTGGCTGCATTATGTCCATGCCTTTGGACTTTGTGGAAGGTGGGACTTAAGAGTTGTGAACCAGAATGCTTGGCGCAAGAAATTTCTAAGCAGCAAATCATTAAGAAAGCTGCATGGTTACTTTTAACAGCCTACTCTGAGTTATGGTGGCAAAGGCATGATGTAAAGCCAGAGTTTAAAAGGGAAGCAGAGCGTAAAGATTTGGAAAATTTTCAGCCTGGCCATGTGGTAGAGAAGCAAAGAGCAGGAGAAAAACACAAGGGTGAAGCAGTAAACTGGTTGCTAAAGACATTATACTGGCAGTGAGGAAGCCAGGTGCTAATAACCAGGACAATGGGAAAAAAGCCCTAAAGGCATTTGAGAAGTTTGGAAGGGTGCCCCACCCATCACAGGCCCTGAGGCCTAAAAGGACTGAGTTGTCCTGGAGGACAGACCCAGGGCGCAGCTGCCCTCGGGAACCTGCTCCCTGCATTCCAGCTGCTCTGGCTAGAGCAGCCCCAAGTGTGGTTCATGCAGCAGCTCTGGAGAGTAGAAGCCTGAAACCCTGGTGGCATCCACATTGTGTTAATCCTGCAGGCCGGCAGGACATGAGAGTAGTGGAGGCATGGCAGCCTCCACCCAGATTCCAGAGGATGCCTGGAAAAGCCTGGGGGCCCAGGCAGAGATCTGCCACGGGGTGGAGCCACTGCAGAGGCCAACTATTAGAGCAATGCTGAGCAGGAAAGTGGGGTCAGAGCTCCCACAGAGAGCACCCACCAGGGAAATGTCTAGTACAGCCAAGGCAGTGGAGCTGCCTCCAGGACCCCAGAACTGCAGGGCCACTGGTAACATGCAACGCAGGCCTGGAAAAGCCACAGGCACCAGTGCAGCCCACTGGGCTGAGCCTCGCAGAGCTGTGGGAATGAGGCTCCCTGATACTTTGGGGGCCCAGATGCCCAATCATGCCCAGGATACAGGATTTGGAATCAAAGAAGATTATTTTGGACCTTTAAGATGTAATATCTTTAGGGCCGGCTTGTGGCTCACTCGGGAGAGTGCGGTGCTGATAGCACCGAAGCCACAGGTTTGGATCCTACATAGGGATGGCTGGTTAGCTCAGTGGCTGAGTGTGGTGCTGACAACAACAAGTGAAGGGTTAAGATCCCCTTACAGTTCATCTTTAAAAAAAAAAAGATGTAATATCTGTCCTACTGGATTTTGAACTTGTTTGGGGCCTGTTTCTCCTTTCTTTTGGCCTGTTCCTCCCATTTGGAATGGGAATGTATACCCAATATCTGTTCCACCATTGTATCTTGGCAGTAGATAAATTTGTTTTTTATTTTTACAGGTTCACAGCTGGAAGAACTTTTGCTTTCGGTCTCAGAGGAGACTTTGGACTTTGGACTTTTAAGTTGGTGCTGGAACAAGCTAAGAATTTTGGGACTGTTGGGATGGAATAATTGTATTTTGTATGTGAGAGTGACATGAGTTTTGGGGGGGCCAGAGGCAGAATGATGGAGTTTGGATGTGTTGTCCCCTCCAAAACTCATGTGGAAATTTGATCCCCAATGTGGTAGTGTTGGAAACTGATTGAGTCATGGGGGTGGATCACTCATGAATGGATTAATGCTCTCCCTGGGCGATGGGGGGAGTAATGAGTGAGTTCTTGCTCTATTAGTTCCTGTGAGAGCTGGTTGTTTAAAAAGACCCTGGCACCTCCTCCCTCCCTCCCTCCCTCCCTCTCTCTCTCTCTCTCTCTCACTTCCTCCCGCCATGTGATCTGCTTGTACCTGCTGCTTTCCGCCATGAGTCGAAGCAGCCTGAGGCCCATGCTAGATGCAGCT